ACACACACACACACACACACACACACACACACACACACACACACACACACACAGGGTATCCCCTCTTTATTCATGGCTCGGAGTATTCCCTCGCTCTTCACAGCTCCTTCACATCTCCACAGGGGGTCCCACAGACTGGCACGGCTGGCTCTGCACAACACCCCCTACTGGCGGCTGCCGCCTACAGCCAGATCTTGACACAATGCATTTACGGGGCCCGACACAGCTGGGTTTGGAAGAGGACAGGGCAGCGGTGGAGGGCAGAACACATCAAACGCAGCAGCAGCAGCTCAACAGCTAGCTAGCTCCACTGGGGAGGACTGGAGGAAGTCTGTCTGGGGCTAAATTACACTCCACTAAACCAGAGTCTGATTATAGAAGTTGAAAAGGGTTTTTTTTGGTAAACGCAACCCCCCCCTATTCCAGCCACAAACACACATGAATGGACTCACACACATGCACAAGCGCGGAGCTTTGTTTTTTTACAGTGCTGTAAAAAACAGAAGCATTTACAGCATTTTGAAAAGAGTTGCCGGATCAATTAATTCAGAGCTTGATGAATAGTTTAACAGAGCTTGGAAGGAATCAACGGGGGCTGTGAAAAGCAACAGTTTCCCCCGCCGCATATTTCAAGGTGTAACCAGGGGAGAGTCTGAGCATTTCAGCAGACCATAATGTCTTTGACAGAGCCAGCGTCCGGCTCACATTAACAACATCCCCACACTCCCCTTCTGATCAGGCCGGCCTTTCATGTGAAGAGAGCGTGAATGAGGTGACTGGGGGGGAAAGATTGGTTTTCCTAAAATCATTTTCCTGTTGTGTATTTAACTGATTGTTCTGGTTTCGGCTAATTAATCTTCCCGGGCACAATGAAAGGGACTTCAAAGAACCCCCCCGTATAAATGATCCCAACATGAAGCGGCTCTCTTTGTCTCGGCACAGTGCGCCGCCGCAGATTAGACCCACACAACTTGGCCATTTCTTTTCAGGCTCCTTCTGCCCCATTCATTTTGAAAGTTTACAGACATATGTCTCTTTTTTTTCCTCTCTGTGTGAGAATGAAGTCAGGGATAATTTGAGAGTGACCCTTTCAAACAAGTGGCAATAAGAAGAAGAAGAAAAAAAAACGGGTTTCAGAAGCTTTAATTTGAAAAATCAGCTGAAGCCATGGGAGTGCAGATTTTCTATCTATCTATAGCAGCTTCTGTAGTCATAACAGAATGGCAAGCCAAGACAAAACACACTCCACTACCTCAGACCAAAGCAATAAACAATGGTTGAATAAACACATCCCTTACCAACCGCTCTGAATATAAGTCTAAGATTCTTCAAAAGCCACGCTCCTTAGCTTTTGCATTCTTGGTTCATGTATGGTGCAGTCGCCACAGCAATGAGAGATCCGCTCTGCCTAAATTACAAGCTCCTCTGTGGCAACGCCGTCTCCATTTTCCTTCCCATACATTAGAACGGGCACGGCTACAACGGCGACTTCACCGGGACTCACGGGGAGCAACGGGCTCGTGTTGGTACAATCGGCGGGGTCGATCCAACTGGACTAGAACGTATGCATTGTGGGTGTACAGTGTATCCGGCTTCTGTCTCGATGACGTCATGACTATCATGACCTGCTAAACATGTATTGTAGACGTCGTATTAATACATGCATTTTCTGTTCATCTACGTTAACCTGATGGCGGACGATGTTGCTACACGGTTAGCAGACGAATCGCATCTTTCCACAGCACGGCTAACTACAGCTTGTGTGTGGGTGGAGGCAGCAGCAGCGTCTCTGTTGTGGAAAGGTATGCTCAGCTAACAGATCCAGAAAAAAAAAAAAAGAAGCAAAGGAGCGGTAAAGTACCGTATCTCTCCATGGAGTTAAAATTCAAAACAGGAGCATCTCTCAAAACTCCCCAAAGATGTCTGCTTTGCATCCTCTCGCCTCTTCCAGGGTCCCTCCTCTCTCATCTCCATCTTTCCTTCACGCAAACACATTTTTCTATTTCTTTCAACATCTTTTTTCGTACAGCAAAGGCGTGTTTGTTTTTCTGACAGGTGGCAGGAGGCAAAAAAAAAAAAAAAAAAAAAAAAAAAAAGAGCCTCCTCACCATTAGGACAGATGTCTGGTGCCTTTGAACAGTACTGCTGATCAAGCCTTCCGTGAGGTTTCGGTCATTGACGGACTCCAGATGAGGGTGAGCCGGATAGAAAAGGGAAATGCAGAGGGGGGGGATGTGTGCCACTATCTCCCAAAGCAATGAAAAATAAAAAGGGACTTTGACTTTCAGGAGAGAAATCAGGTTTCATCTCCACAGCTCATTTTATAAAATGAGATTTTGTTTGTTCTTGATGAAGCGTAATTCTCTAGTTTTGAAGACTGCGAGGAGCGGCAGTCGTTTTCCCCTCCCAGTCATCTTAAAGTGACAACATTTCATCTATATATAGTCTTTAGATTGTGGTTTTGACTTTCCCTTGCGCTTGGTACCGTCACATGGCGTGGTTTTTGACAGCTGCCAGCAGAAAGAAACAAGCCCTCAACACTTTCAATGTTCAAATGAAGTTTGTCACATCGTTGGGAAGCTTGATGTATGCTAATGAAGTTGGGGTGTCTGTGTGTGCAGGCTTGCGTGGGACAGGTTGGGAGGGTGGGGGGGAGTAGCTGCTGGAAAGACATTTTTGATATATCCCCCCCCCCTTGTTCCAAAGTGACAAAAACCTTGTCAGGAACAAGGGGGTACATCAAAATGACGCCACTCACAAAGTTTGCACCTCCACATCCACTGAGTTGGCACTCGGAGTTCACCAAGGAGCGATTTGAATTCAAAAACACTTTGGTGCGAGAGGGGAAAAAAAAGAAAACCGGTAGAAAGGAGATTAGAAGTGGCTACAGATCTCATTGAAGTTGTTAGAACTATGGGATGGATTGGTAGCTGCTGATGTAATATGCCTCAACAAAAACAGCACACAGGAAGACGACTCAGACGACAGAACTTAAGTTCAACTCCTCTGCATTTTTTTTTTTTTGTCGCCGTTAACACAGAAAACAACTACAGAAATGACTTATTTTTTATTTCACCAGGGTCCCACGATGCAGGAGAACAGATAAAAACGTGTACATTTCGCCGTGCCCACTGTGTCATTATGTATTCATACAAAGAGCCGTGCTCTTCAACATTCTGGTGCTCTCTTCAAGGAGAGTTGAACCACACAAGGAGCTGCTGATCCGCCATTTTAGAGCGCGAGCCTGCGAGGGCCCTGCAAGTGTAAGGCAAGCAACATCTGTGTGAAGTCTGGGCAGAAAGGCTGCTTTTTTTTTTTTTGCATGGGAGGGATCGGATTACAAAGACAAGTCTTGGCAGATAAACTAGGGCAATATCGGCGTGAGGAGACAGAGTGGAGGATTATTATTATCATATACAAAAAAAAAAAACAACAAACGATGAGGACGCACTTAAGATAAATGCAAACGGTCACACACCAACCAAATAACAACACACAGCAGAAAGGCAGTTTTGCTATTGACATGCACCACACACACACACACACACACACACACACACACACACACACACACACACACACGCACACACGCACACACGCACACACCTGACCTTAGGTGAGAGCAGGGTAGGAGGCAGGAATACATACAGTATATGATTCAGCCTCTCTCTCCACACAGGGAGTAGAACAGTGACTCTTTGCCAAACTAGGGGTGCACACAAACACACACTTTAAGCTCTGTGCAAAAACACTGTGAAACCCAAGTTATACTTTGTGCGTCCGCGATTGTGCGAGGGTCTGCGTGACGTAGATTTCATCATTAGAAGTTGTATTCGAAGGCTCTGTGCAGACATACATGCCAGGAACCTGTCCATCCTATTAGCTGAGCGAAGACATTAGTAAAGCTCTTCCTAGAACCGTGAGCTTCAGATCTCATCCTTCCGTGGGTATCTGTTGAAGCATCAGAGTCGGCTGACGTGCGGAGACTCCTCCATTCTAAGCCGACTGTGGCACACTTCCTGTTTGCGTTGTCGCTGCCAACTCTTGTCGCGGCGAAACAATCTGCGATCGTTTAGCGAAATGTGTTTGTGAGAGTTGAGAATCGTCAAGTACGTACAATTGGTACCAAATGCTTCATCAAATTCTTCGTCTTGTTTACCCATTCTTCGCTGTGAAAATATTGCCTGATTTAAATCATAATGTTGCTGATTTCTTTCCCAGAAAAAAAAAAGCATCTTTGGTATCAGCACTAAAATCTGTTTCTTTCTGGCGCCAGGATCAAAACAAGACTAAGCTCTATAGACTGCAAGCAGTAAGTGGGTTTTGAGTGATTTAATGTGCGAAATAAAGGAGTAAATTAACTTTTATTAATAAAAAATGGCATCCAAAATATTTTTGTTTTTAAATAAAATGTCACGAGTTGAACTCTGTGGAAATGCGAACATGTGTTGGCATCTTCAAAGCAGTGGACCAACGTCTGATTGAACCGACATCATCTACCTATAGTTTACGTCAACACCTTCCACTGCTATCACTGAACATCTAAAGTCACGCTACAAGCGGATAACATGTAAACAATATGCCAGAGTGTTGCTAGTTAGAAACATAAAAAGATGTACTCTTCACCTTGAGAGAGAAATATCAGAGAGCAGGCACATTTCTTTCAACTCTCTGCGGGAAAACATTTTCACCAATACATCTATTGATCGTGTCTTCAGTGATGGATCACCCGGTAAATAACACTAACAAAACACATTAAAGCGAAGCAGAAAAGCAGAGTAACCCAAACTCGTCTTCAGACGACGCGGTCTGACATCACAGCCCGGCAGGTTCAGGGGTCAGCTCCTCTCCGGCTATAGGAAACAACGCGCAGCGCCTCTGGGACGAGGTCAGCGACCAACGGCTCCTAAAAACCACTGACCCCCTTCCTGCAGATTTACGACGGCCAGACACCGAGGTGTGTGACGAGTGTGTGAAGTGTGTACAAGGGTCAGTGGGCGGATCACAGGGGACACAAGGGGATGAATGCCTTTGGTGTACATACCAGGGTACAAAGAAGAGCCTCCCGTGAGTGTAGTCATTAGTGCTTTCTTCTCTCTGTGTGTCAAGGTCAAAACAGAGCCTGATTACAGGGCATTCTGGGGAGCAATGGGGAGTGTGTCTGCGCACACAGAGGCTTCCCTCTGAACACAGGCGGTGGTGGCATTCCTGGCCCTAGGCGCTGGCTCTTGAAGCCAAATCTCAAGGAATTTGGGAAATGTGCGAGGGGGCATATCTGTGGCTCTGAACAGGAGATGGTAGAGTGACGAGGGGAGGGCAGAAAGGATCCTGTTTCTTTTCTGTCTTTTGTGGCCCCCTGGAGGGTCTGGTAAGGATGGCAACTGAGGGTGAGGGGCTCGGGACACCAGGGGATGGGGGAGCAAAGGTGGGTGTTTTGTGCTGGCAAGAAGCAAAGAGAGAGGTGTGAGGTGGGCCAGTAGCTCAGTCCGTGGGGACTCGGTTTGGTAACATGAGGGTCAGCCGGCTCAAGTATGGACTGGTAGATGAAGAGGTGCCGGTTCGCCTCCTGGGCACAGCCGTGAAGCTCTTGAGCAAGGCACCGGACACCCAAACCGCTGTGTGCTACACATGCGTGACAATAAAAGTCGAGTGACATCAACGAAGAAAGGCTGAGGCTGATGCGCCGGTAATGGCGAAGAGCAAATGAGTTTAAGCCTCTCTTGTGAATGTCCGACGAGCATGAAAAAGTGACGGCGTTACCTTCTCGTCGGTCTCGAGCTCCTTGCTCAGCAGCTTCTTCTCCGAGCAGTGCAGCTGCCTCTGTAGACTTCCCACCATTTCCTGCAGAGCCTGGGGGAAGGGAGAGACAGTCAGTGTTGTCGGCTGACTGACGGGGAAAAAGAACAGAAACTGCAGATCCGTGTGGTGAAATGTAAAGACATTTCTGAATGAGAAAACAAGACATACGGACCCAATGAGAGAATGTGCAGGACAGAGACAAATGAGACAGAAGGAAGGACAGAGGGACGGCGAGGAGAGATGCCGCCTGTGATTAGTCTTTGCGTGTTAAAAGGCTAATAACGAAGTCATGACAGTAATTACTGGCAAGCTGGCCTCATTAAGCCCAAACTCATTTATAGACAAGGGCATGCAGAAAGAGAGACTCGCTCGCTCAGGGAATTAGCAAACTTCCAAGGCTTTTATCAAACTTGCACTCCTTTAAGGATCATTATTTCTTTGGCAGTAATAAGAGCGATGTATCATTTAGTGGATAACAACCTCTCTCGCATACAAACGCCTGAGTTGATCAAATTTCCCCACAGGCGCCAATAAAGAGTTTAATCGATTTTGCTTTCTAAGATTCAAGCAAGTAAGAAAGACACAATATATGTGTGTGTGTGTGTAGGACATTTATTTCCCTCCCTGCCTGTAAGTGATAGCAGCGGAAAGAAAGGCGCAGTTCCTTCATGTGACGCAGAACCAGATGTTTTGAGTGCATATGTGGACACTTCGTCTTTGATTAGTCTGCATGAAAAGCAGAGAGAGAGAGATATACACGCACACCTGAACATGAAAGGCACACACATGCATTTACACTTTCCACACACACAACAAGTGTATGGGGGGGGCACTGGTTAGCATCAACGTCCTCGGTGTGTCGCCCCAGTGGAGTTGAGTGAGCGGGCCAGGTGTTGCCTCGTCGATTCTGAGAGCCGATGGAAACACAGTCCAGGTGATAGCCATGACCGGCCTGATCTACAGCACACTACGCCGACATAAATCACACGCAGACTGTTCGGCTTCGGGGTTGCAACTCTCAGAGAACTACGGACTAGAAAGGAAAGTTGAAACCTCTGTTGTCGGATTGTTAGACACAGAAGATCTCACCGTAAATGAAACTGATGAAAAACGTACCCGAGGTTCTTTTTCTTAATCATTTTACAGTCACCTGAACCACATTGATGCATAATGTACCTCCTTCTTCTGCAGTTGTTAATTTACGCCTCTGGTAGATGGATTACTCGACACACACACACACACACACACTCACACACTCACACAATTATGATTCAGGAGCACGTTGGGGTCAGTTTTAGCTCGGCAGCATGAAAGGCAGCTGCTTCTTGCGTCACGTTGATCCTATTAATCAGGGTGTTTCTGAGCCAGTCACGATCCCATCGCAGCCCACGTCTCCATCCAGTGCAACCCCTTGCCATCAGTTTCATCATTTCATTTTGTTTATTGGTGAATCAAAAATAAAGGCGCAACAACGCTAGAAAAGCATTGGGAGTTTAAACAGTTTATACGGTCAGATGATATAAAGCAGCAGAATGTGTGGCACAGATTGTTCATTTCTTGATCAGGAAGTGTGTTTCTTGCTGTATGTAAGTGGATAAACTACGTTCTACCCTTTCTTTCTCCAAAACTTCTCCATCGCGACCCTCAGCTCATCTACATCTGTCCTTTAAAGGCAGCACTACGACCGACAAAGAAGACTCGGATGAATCACGCCTCCCGTTTCTGATCCCACTCCCTGATTCCCCACACCGTGACACAGCCTTTCTGGACCAGGTCTTCTGGGAAGTAACGGCTGACTTAGTGGGCCTCACTGCTGACGTGTTCCGTCTCTTTCATGTGGGTTCTGTATCTGATGTGCTCAAAACAACTCAAGGGTAGAAAGTTCAGCACTTGTCACTTCATTAATAGAATCATATGGGATGATGGATAAAAAGCTCTTTGTGAGTCAGAAAGGACCTCGGAAATATCGAGTCAGAGAAAAGGATAACGCACCGACTCTGGTCGCCGCAAATAGGAATTCAAGAAAAAGAGATTACTGAGAATGAACACATGGACAGCCCTCCTGGTGCAGTTTAAATACCAGCGTCGGACATAAACATCTCAAAAATAATGATTTTGGAAATAAGGCTAACATATACAGTCATTTCTCAAAGCATTTGAGGGGAAGTATGAAAGTGGGGCCCTTGGAAACACAATTCCACAAAATAATTTTGCAGGTGCAGCAGCTTTTTATCATTGATCCCCACAAGATGCTGGTCGTTTCTATAGTATTTAGTGTGTGTGAAAGGCGGCGTGTAGAGGATCCTGCTAAAGTGTCTCCAGATGCCACGGTCGATATGGTCTTTATCAGTCATGCAGACTGGGATCATTGTGAACAGGCCAGGAAGAGGGGGAAATCAGATTTCCTTAGGGAGAGAGATGGAGGGAGGGGGCG